ACGATTGGCTTAAGATTTTATGAATTGCCACCATTTGCGGCTCAAGTTTGATGCATGTGGAAACTAGAGCTGTAAAATCCATCGATCCACTGATGATTTCTCCTATCAAGCCCTGAAAGAAAGAGCGAGAGAGTGAGAGGAAGAGCGAACGAGAAAGTGAGAGATAATAATGATAATGCTATTAATAGCATAGCATCGCCATGTACAGGAAGAGTAGTTCATGTTGATGAAATCTCACCTTAACAATTATTTTAACAACCTAGATCTGAACATCACTGCCAGATATCAGCTCTAGAGCAGTGTGCTACCTTTAATCCATTCATAGCCATGATTTCTATATATGTATATACATATAGTAGATGGCCTCTCTAAAGATCTTCAGTCTTTTTCCTTTTTTACAGGTAGTCGAGCAAACTGATTATGTAAGCAATAAAATATTTTAGATAGGGTAACCTATAACATATAAATAGAGAAAATCAAGACAACTGCAAGGCAATTGCCAGTCGTTCACTGCCCGTACTCGAGCACTTTGAATTGTTTTTGTTTCAACTTTTTGGCTAGCCAAGTTGCCGCAAACCCAACGCCAGCCGCAATATCATAAATATTTTATGTTGCGGCATGTTTTGTAATTCGTTTGTGTTTTGCAACTCAATTCCTTCTTTTTTGTGTTCGAAATGCTTTTGGAATAGTTGCGTTTGGGCCAAAAGTTCTTTAAAGCTGCCGCAGATAGCAGCAGAGCTAACTAGCAGCAAATTATTTTAAATGCCACATCCGTCCCGGCAACCGCGAACTTATGTTTAATTACACAAAGTGCCTGGATTTTCATAATTAGCGCGCTGCATGCAATCAGGCAACGAGCAGCTGCCGCATTCAAATCGGGGCAACATTTTGCTGTAACACGCGCGGCGCGTAATTAAAAATTGCAAAGAAATAAATGCTCCCAAAGCCAAGCCAGTCGCAATTCTCTCCTGCAGATCCTGGACTCTATGTAATCCCGTACCGCAGCAAGTAGCCATCGATCTACTTTAAAGTCGCAAACTGGGCCAGTTTTCAGCATCCGGCTGCGAGCCGTCTTGATAATTGAGAAAGAGAGAGCAAGAGAGAGGGAGTCGGAAGTTTGAGTGGAGGACAATGCTTCAGGGACATGTTTGGCCCGTTGCAGTTGCATTTGCATTGTTGCTGCCTCCGCTACCTGCAGCAACTCGGCACAGCTGAGAGACCGTGCGACAGCGGCAAATGTTGCAATTATTATGCAGCAGCCACATGACGCGACAGTATACCCGGCGTATGCATATGCATATGCATGTGCATGTGTGTGTCTGTGCACAAAAGTTCAATATGTAAATGGGCATTGTGTGCGTGAACTGTCAACACATGGGCAAGCGAACGAACGAGCCAACGAAAATGCAACCGTCACCTTGGGAGTCATCAACATGAACAACGAAAACAGGCACTCTCACTCACGCACACTCACACTGACTCACACTCACTCACACACTCAAACAGAGCCGTGCAATCATTGACCACGAATGCAGCAACAATTGTGTCACATATAGCTGCATTGTGGGTCACTAGCGCAGAGCTAATAGAGACAATAAAATGAAATGAATGAGAGCGAGAGGAAGAGTAAAGGGAGCTGGGTACCAATTGTGGCCAATTGTGGCACACAGGCAATTTAAGCCATTTATTAATTATGATTAAAAATCAATTTCCTACGATATAATACTCATTATTGAGATATAGTAACTCTTAAGCTGTTCTGTTACAGCCCTTGCTTCAAAAGGTTACAAGATCTAAACGGATTTGATTCGGTAAAAATGGTGTTAAATATGGTGTGTAAAATATATATAATATAAATATATATACATATGTGTATATTATGTGGCACACCAATAGAGTTGCGAACTAACGCGCTAGTCTAGCTAGTCTATCCAATTTTGGGAGTTACGATTCAAAAATGAGTAATTTACAGGGTATTTTGAATATGCCACGCCCCATTAGTCAATAACGAAGATTGTCAACATGAGTGTATATGCCAAATTCATGCCTCTAGTAGTCAAAATCATCCCTGAAATATTATATATAGTATTTGTCGATTGATCACAATTATAGAGTATTGGAAAAATCTGAATTATAAAAATATCAAGAGATCTACTTATAAGTAAATATTTCAATATTGGTTCGAGTTTCTAGCTGCAACAGCCATGAAAAGGTTCGCAGTCAATCACAACCAAAAGCAATGACCGAAATAGTAAAGTCAAAAAGGAAGTCAAACGAGACTGCAGACGTACTGAAGTGAGGAAGAACTGAACTGAGTTAAAGAGAAAAACATTTAGATGTGTCAGATGGAGCTTGAGTGCTTAACTCAGTAAGCCTTGAAAATGCATGGGGACATATCTAACTAAATCGCAAACCCTTCAGACTTTAGTGCTCAGTAAAAAGCGTTAATCACACTTTGGCGCTGACACTTGAGAGCATGTTTTTCTCGAAAATGTGAAAATGCAGCAAATGATTTGCAAATATTTCGCACAAGTGTTGGCAAGTGTTGTTGCAGGAACATGCGCGAAAATTCTTAAGACGGATGACACCATCACATAGGACATACATATATACTGGCGTGTGTGTGTGCTTACAAGTGTTGTATGCATTTGTTTTGCAGGCACGCACTCAATAATTAAGCATATACATATGCTACAAACACTTACACACACGTACACAGAGACAATCTCGAGGCATGTAATCTAACTGTTCTTCCGATTCTGTATGTTGCAGCAACATGCGGCGTACTTTTGTCCGTCCAACAACCCGCTGACAGGAGCTCCGCTTCGGCTGCCACTGCGGTTTCTCACATGTCGACTTAATTAAAGAAAACTTAATTAAATGATAACACAGCAGCCAACAGAGTTATGCGAAATATTTCATGTATCCCTGCGCTCGACAACGACAAGCGAAACAATCGCAATATGCCAGTTGCATTGACATTCACAATATATTCTCATTTTGTCTCTCACTTTCTCCCTATCTCTCTCTCTCTCTCTTTTTCTCTCTCTCTCTCTCTCTCTCTCTCTCTCTCTCTCTCTCTCTCTCTCTCTCTCTCTCTCTCTCTCTCTCTCTCTCTCTGTCACATACCTTTGATCAGATTGTTGCCTTAGTTGAGCCGCTTAGGGTAGTGAGCAAGCGTTCTATAGCTTTTCACTTTTATGACAGGCAATTGAGGACAGCCATTCACCTACTTAATTGCCGCAACAATTGGCCAACAGGTGTCTGTAAATGGTCGAAGCACTGGCAGAGAGCCATTCAACGCTGCGCCAATTATTTTTGCCTGAATGCCGAAGATTATCAATGCTGCCAGTGCTGCCAGCAGCCAATTTGTGAATGACGCAAAAGCCGGATAAAAAATAGTACATGGCGAGGATACACTTTGCTTGCAGTGTATTCTGGACATGCTGCACATTCATATAAATATGCTTACGCATGGCAAGTGCATTAAATAAGCAATAGGATTCCATAAGTAAAGACAAACAAGTGTATAAGCTGATTCTCTCCCTCGCACACATCAAAATGCTGTATGCATATTACTCGAACAAGCGCTCGCTACTCATCTCGCTCTCTCTTGCATAAATGCGCCTAGTGATCGTCATTTTATTTTCGTCTTACAAATTTAAATAGCTTATACATACACATGCATACATATACATATATGTACATGCACATGCACATAGTCAACGCCCCAGAGAGCGATACTCTTATTGGAACGCCTTATCATTCTTTAATACCCAAATATAAATAGTATAAGAGCATGCGTATGTAAATTATACAATTTTAAATTTTAAACAGCTAAACTCTGACCATATATCAGACCTGACAACTGATCCTACTGCTTATTGATCTCTTGTACAAGTGTATTCAGCATTCAGGAATTTCTAAATGCTTCGTATGTCCTTGTTATTTTTTGCTCATTCGAAAAGTGGGTTAAAAAACATGCAGTACTAAACTCCGACTGGTTAAAAGGCCCAGCAATTCAATCGTAAACGCTGCAACGCTTGGGATACATTCGTAACGCCTCGTCCTTGCTAGAACACACAAAACAGATACATTAGCGACCATAACGCATGAGCAAGCGAGTGTGCGTGTGTGTGTGTGTGTGTACGTTTGCATGTGAGGGTAGGAAGAATGGTAGTGCTTTTAGATGACTGTGCTGAAATGGCTTTATAAGTGTTTATGCAACTAGTCGAGGATGCATGTATGCATGTGTGTGTCAGTGTGCGTGTGTGTACGTATTTGCTGCCGCCTGTTGCCAAGAAAACAGTGACACTTTTCCGCATGTTATGCCTGTTGTTGCAATTGTTTGGATTCACCCACACCCACACAGAGCTACTCACACACACAGACTGACACACATGCACACACTCCCATGATTTGCTCAGTGCATGCATTATGGCATTGTCTCTGTCAATATTGTTGCAACGTGGCACTGTTTCGGCAATGCAGCCGAAAAATAACATTTTTTGCAGACATCTGGGCCTCGGCCTTTTGGCTGTAGTCCTTTAAAGAGGCAGGCATGCAAATTAGCTTTAAGTCGGTTCAAGAGCATATACATTGCAGACTTTACAGTTGCATGTCCACTTAATTTGCCATTGTGCTGAACGTCCCACCCAGCTCACACGCAAACACACACACACACACTCTTAAACTTCCGGCGGAATAATGCTTCTGTGCACACACACACACACACATACCACTCCAGTGGACACATCCTGCCCAGCGGAGGTGCCAGCGATTTCAGCAATTTGTTGTTTGCGCGCATTGATGCTAATGCCAATTGCTGCTGTTGCTGTTGCAGTTGCAGTTGCTTTTGATGTTGTTGTTGCTGCTGCTGCAACACGAATTTTAGGGTCATCGATTCACTAGAATTGTTACTGCCAACGCGTTGGCAACGCCTGCGTCACATCCTTCCTGCTGGCCCGCTGTGTCGGCTGCTTTTTATAGCTGTTGTCAAGTTCCATTTTATTATGATCACGAGCACGTGACTGCAGTCAGACAGGCTTCTGAAATTGACTCATAAATCGAATATAAACAAGTAGGAAAACTGGACTAGAGACTGCCCTGAACCAAATTTCGATATATTTAAAAACATAAATTTAAAAAAAAAAACTCATTTACTTATGTAGTGTCAAATATAATAAAGCCACAAGCTGTAACTATAAACTGCTTCAAAACTCCTAGCACTAATACATTCTTCTTCATTTGAAAAATTGAAATCTGCTCACGACAAGCACCCACCAGGTTTGGATCTAAGAAACATTAGTCGAAGCTTTGCCGACAGAGTGCAAGGGATGGCAAAAAAAATACCTCGAGAGAGTCGGATCTAGCCCCCATGACCTAGACCCAGAAAACCTATTGAGCTGGATATCGACTCTCTATATTCTGCGCCGCTCTCACATAACCTTAACGAAAATAGTTAATTAATTTCATATAATTTAAGACACCAATCTGCAAATATTTCATAAGATACACATATAAGTATATTATTAAAAAACATGTTATATATAAAATCTTTGCAATCGCACATGTCATTTGAAATTTCCAGGTTAAAAAAATGTTCTATCGCTTCGTAGTCAAATTATCGATTATTATTATCGATAATAAAGAAATGGGAGTTATTGTTCTAGTTAAAAGAAAATTGACTTCACTGCTACAGTGACATTTAGCATATCTAAGTATTTTACAATATTAGAGACGCATGTCATATGGGAATAATGCTTGGCAGTCAAATTAATGCGATGTTCCACATGATTTAGTTTCAGTACAATTTACTATTATAATTCGATTAGGGCGTGTCGGAGAGGATGTCAAGCAAATTTATTTCGTGAATTCGATATACCAGTTATACGCTTATATGATTTATTCGTTGCAGTTATGCTTTCAAATATGTATAAAAGGGAAAGCCAAACCCCGAATTCTATCATCGTTTTTGAACGGAAGCTACAATCAACATGAAAGTGGTAAGAATGCCAATTTGTGTTATTTCTGACAAGTAACAACCTTATTTTGTTTCTTCTACTCACAGATACTGTTCACTGCTGTGCTCGCTGTCTTGGCGTCCAACTGCTTTGCTCAAGATGGAGCTACTCCAACTCCGCCACCTGAAGTTCCAGCAACTGTATCCCTACCTAAGCTAAAGCTGCTTCTTGAAATATAAAGTTGATTCAAATATTCATTCATAATGAGCTGGTCCAATTAATTGTTGGGGCATTAAAGTCTACAAATTTGGTTTAAATCTGGCCTGTTCGGGCGCGTAAGACTGCCCTTGTCAAAAAAAAAAAAAAAAAAAAAAAAAAAAAAAAAAGACACAATAAGCAACAACGCATGGGCACCGATTTTTTATGAGAATTTATATTAAAACTAAGATAGTCATAAATATTTTGAAAACAATTCGATACAGGGACCAACAAAATCAAATTACAGTCTCTACCTTTTAAAGTTTCTGAGATCGACTCACTCGTATATTCGGACAGACAGCCAGATAGACGGTCAGGCTTAAATCGTCACCCTCATCAAGCATACTGTGTGAGATCTGCCACGCCTTGTTCCGCATGTTACATACATTTGCACAAAACTATTATACCCTGATTTTCAATGGGTTCAGGCTTTAATAAGTCAAAGTTTTTTAAATTCTGCGACTTCAAATGGTGTTGCAGTTAGGTATCCCATAAAGTTAAAACATTCCAGGGCATGCACAATGAAAGCTCTGCAGCAACTCTCACACATATACACAGTATGCATTCCATCCGTGTGTGTGTGTGTCCACTTGTTTGTAACTTTTTTAGCATACTTTCGCGCGCCAAAAAATAACTGATGGCATTTATTTAGTACATTCCCCCCCTCCCCTACCCCCTCCCTTCTGGTGACTCTTTGTGTCTATTAGCATGTGCATTATCATATGTATTTGTATTTGCTCTTGGTTTTTTATTTTGTTGCTGATGATTTTCATTTTCCGCCAACTCTTTTCCTTGCATATTCCATTTGATTGGTGTCCTGTTCCAGTATTTCGATGCTGCTGAAATTGCGTGGATGTGATTTTTCCACTTGGCATCGCATGTGGAAATTAGAAAATTATTTTTACTGCTACATGGCTTTGAAGCATTCAGTTTCATGTGTTTGCTATTGCATTTGTACATAAAAAGCGATACGAACGAATTTTCACACAGATACGAAATTAAACTTCCTGTCACACAATTAGTATGGCATCCGTTGGTTAAATGAAATATAATGTCCACAAAGGGTAGAACGCGATTTTGTTGCATTTTTCATTCATCTGCATGCATAAATTTGTGGGAGCACTTGATTCGTTTTCTACTGCATGAACATACACATACATATACATAGTATTGGCCAAATCGATTTTTGATAAGCCAGCATAGAACTTGTTCACTTTGAGTCTAAGGCAAAATATACTAAACTAATTTCAAAACAGCAAAAACAATGACAAAGAGCACACATAAAGACTTGGCGAAATTCGTAACAAGTAAAAGAAATTTATTTCTTCCCAAGTCGCTAGTGTATTCTATACTTTCTCCATCATTAAACTTAAGCGATTACTTTAATCCTCCTCCGATTTCCATAGATTTCATCCACTAGCGAAAGCCTGTCACTGCTGGCAGAGTACCCAGTGTAAGGGTAATAGAGACACAAGGCAATGGAATACTCTGCGCGCAGCCACAACATGATGTGGCCATGGGGCGGGCGGTAATGAAAATGACTCTTCACGGGGAGGGATGGCCGCAAAGAGTTTTTCGCGTTGATGTTGATTGATTTCGCGTTTGGTGCAGCTGACAGCAGAGCGCGATTCCCAACTATGACTTATTTTTAGATGAGCTCGCAGTGGCGATTGTTTAATTAAAGCACAAGGAAAAAGAAATCTGCTGTAACTCATGAGCAGGAGTAGCAGCAGAGGCGGCAGCAGCCGGCGGCAGAAAGCAAATCAAAGCATTTTTAAAAAGAAAACTTTTTAATGAGTTGTGGCAAGGCCCACAGGCAGCTGTTTTTCTAATAATTTAACACACGTTGCGTATGCGCCGCATGTGACGCACCCATAGAGCACAATCCAATCAAAAGTTTACAATTCACGCTCGAAATGTCACGCCTCGACGTTATCTGTGGATACCTACACACCTTCCCCTCCCCTACCGCACCGACCCACACCGCCCCGTCCTAAACTCAAGGCCCACACAACAATGGATCGCGCTCTCTTTAAACGTGTCCCAGCCAAAGTTTTTCGGCATGCTAGCTAGGAGTCTAAGCCGCTTAGGCCAACAGTCCCCCTATCCATCCTCCTGTACAAGTATGCCATAAAAGATAGCTGCTAACATTAAGTGTACCGCATTGTAAAAAATTAAGTACCATGCACCAGCTGTGAGGCTCTTATACCTAATAACTGCCTGCCAATGTTTACCCGATTTATGCTCCTAGGCGCATGTAAATCCTTATTTGCTCAACAGCTCTGATACTTATTACGATTTAAGGTGGTACTTCTTCCGAAATGGCCATGAATTCTCCACATTCTCTAACATGTGCGTCAATCATAATTTGCCTTGGCATTAAACGTAATCAATATGCTGTGTGATTTACATTTACTTAAGAGCGAACATATATATTCACCTAGCTTTCAAAGTGTGGAATGGGAATGGGAGAAAAGACAATTAACTTATGGAAATCTTTTGTCTATCAAAAAGAAACTGTGCTGCAGGCAAATAGAAACTGTTATATAAGTTGGCTGATTAATAATATTATGCCAGACCGTATCGACGGAAAAGAAAAGCAAAAGAGATATGCGTTCAAAAAAGGTTACAATAATTAGGATGTATAATAAATGTGCTCTTGATTTAATTTTAAAGTTTTTCTTTCCCTACATACGTACGATACTTTCATATGTATTTTTTCTCCATTACCCTTGCCATGCATGTGTTGGATGTGATGTATTTCCACTCTCTCTCTCTCTCGCTCGCTCTATCGAACTTTCTTTCTAGCTATCAATAAATTTTTTCTTCTTTTATCTGTTCCTCTCTCTCTTACTTTCCCCCCCTCTTTCTCGCACTCTCTCTCTCTCTCCCTCTCTCTATCGATCTATCTCTCTATCTCTCATCAAGCGAATTCTCACTTTCTCTCTCTCATTATTTCTACATCATATTTTAATATATCCATACATATAAATATTTTAATATATCCATATATGCTCCTAGAATATGTATATGTATATATTCAATTTGAAGTAGCATATCTGTTATACATGTATCTGTTATATATATATATATAGATATATACGCACAACCAGCTCACATGCTCGAAATTCATGACTTGCTTATGAATTCATTGCACATTACAGATGCAGCAATAGCAAGGGATGGGCATGGAAGGCGACTGTAGTCTATGACTTGGATCAATCTTAATGCCAGTGCTGCTGCTGCTGCTCCTGCTGCTTCTGCTGCTACTCCTGCTGCTGATGCTGATGCTGATGCTGATGCTGATGACGTTAGGAGGGAAGCAACTATATTAGGATCCATCAATGTCAGCCAATTTATGCGCATATTAAAATGTGGTCTGCCGATGACAAACACAGCGGCTGCGACCCTTCGGACGCACAACACTGTCAGTCACGCGAGGCTCACGCGGCAAGGACCTAATGACGACAGCCGAATGGTGCCAAATTGAAGAACAAGTCAGGAACGTGACAAAAGCAGCAATATCCCAGTCATAGATCGAGAATAGTTCAGTGTGAGACGGGGCAGCAGGGGTTTCGCTTTAGCAAATGTAACTTTAATGCAAGCTCTGGAATGTAACCAAATGGCAACGGCTGCGATTAGGATATATATATATATATATATACATTTCAGTGTGTGTGTGTTTGTGTGTGTGTATGTGTATGAAACTTGAGTATATCTTGCACCTGCTGAAATAATCAATGCACACACAGCTGCTGCAGAGGGAAGAGAGACGAGACCGAGAGAGAGTGAGAGCCACAGTCGGGTTACTCAAACAAGCACTCTGCCGCCAATTATGACAAATGCATTCAATTGAGTTGAAATGCATAGCCTTATCAGCACAAAGGACATGCCCAATTGTGGGCGGAACAATGCAGCCTTGCCAGATTAAGCTGGCCGCCTTATCGACAGGTTAGCAGGTGTGCCCGATTGACACTAATACTAATGACAACGATATTGTCGCAGCTGCTTCTCCAACACTCCCAGGCAAACAGAAGACACAAAGCGACTAAGCGGTTGAATGGAGCGGCTGTTGAATGGAGGGCACGTGCAGCAGTATCACATTGCCGCAGCTAATATTCCAATTGCTTACAGTGAGTGTTTGTTGAATTTGAGCAATTAATGCTCAGGTACGATTCAATATTCATGAATTTCATATTCATACCGACGATCTCTTGTCTTTAATTATTTACTTTAATGCAAAGGGAATCAACATCCATTTAGTGTTGCCATTGACTTTGAGATATTTTTATTTTATTACAATATTCTGTATGTATTGTAATTGATTATATAAATTGTGCGATATCTGTGGAACGTGCCCCTAACTAATCCGTCTACCCGACCGTCTTTTTCAAATGCTGATTATTATTAAGATCCTTTTAGTTTTGATTTTTTGTCACTTTTTATATTTTTATACCCTGAACCCATTGAAAATGGGAAATCAGGGTATAATGGTTTTGTGAAAAGTATGTAACAGGCAGAAGGAATCATCGCAGACCCCATAAAGTATATATATTCTTGATCAGGACGACGAGCTGAGTCGATATAGCCCTGTCCGTCTGTCCGTCCGTCCGTCCGTCCGTCCGTATGAGCAAAAGGATCTCAGAAGTTATAAGAGCTAGAGAGCTGAAATTTGGCATGCATACTCGTGTATATCATAGGCAGTACGAGTTTGCTTTATTTTTTCGATAACTCATCCGATAACTTTTTTATCGAGAATAATCGAAAAATCGACATTGTTTTTTCAGCCTAATTTGAACACTTTTCAACCAGGAGACTTCAAATTTGCGTTGTATATAGAGTTAATGGATACAAAGATTTTGTAATTTACAGATTTTGGATACCACGCCCCCTTCGCCCCCAATTTGTAAAAAACGCATTTCAAGTACTAGAGACTTGTGCTTTGGAATGTACACACATTTTAACTATATGAACACATTCTGAAAGTTTCATAAAGATACTCTTAC